TAATGGGGGGGGTTAGGCATTTTTGCTAGAAAAAACTTAACCATGAAAAAAATCAGAAGGTAGAATTCTCTTAAAATTATGAAAGTCGTGAATATACAATTAGTTTATCAATTACTTAATTATGTCATCTGTGTAAACCGCAACAATCAATAAATATGTCATAAAGTCCCATAATATAGAGATAAAATGAAAAGTTTAGATATTGTGTGCAGGTTCATTTTATTGTTGTTATTTTGATTTATTAAGTTAAATGTAATTTTAATCATATTTTGTTCACGTGATTTAACAATTATGAAAATGATCTCCATCAAACAGATTCCTCATGGGCTTATCATTCCAAACCTTCTTTTTTCAACCATATATACTTAGTAAGTTCTAGCATGCCAGCTTCTAGCATGCCTGCATCCGATATGTTAAGGTATGCTTGATAGGTGAAGGCTTTAGGCATTTTTCAATGAACTTGGCACAAGGTAATTTTAGATAAGATTAGGAGGTTTTAGGAATATTGCAAAATGAAAGATAGATGTTCCTGTCTCGAGAAATTGACATAAAACTGTGTCAAAATTGAACCAAAACGTATATATGTAAGATATATGTCCGTATCACGTGACCAGAGATGAGATTTTAAAAGCTTACGCCCGAGTAAACTCCGGTCTTTGCGTCTGCTTAGACCCAAGTAAAGCTCAAATCTTTTATATTTGTACATTTAAAATCTCGGGAATTATTTGTGGTGTCAAATTTTATTAATTATATAAAATAAACATACTATGAAAATAATGTATTTACATAAAGTTTGAATTATCGAAATTTACATCTCCTTGTCACAGCTGATCTGACGGCATTCTGTCTGCTACAGAGAGAACGCTTGCAAAACAGTCTCTCATTGGTCGAATCAGAACCAATCCTGACTTGGGTTCTATCTAAGCCCGAGTTTGGTTTTTAGTCGGGTTTAAGCTTTTAAAATCTCATCTCAGAACTCCCTCCAATGGCAGTGCAGTATACTGGTGACAAGTGACAATAATACTGCACTGTTATTGGTTGGAGTTCTGGTGACATGTTCCGAACGCATAAATAATATTATCAATTATATCTATTAAAAATGAAAAATTATTAAATTCAAATATTAATAGTAGCAAACTTGAGTTTCTCAGGCTCCTCTGGGATATCGTTGTTTTAAGATGGATTGCGTATTTATTGAATGTGATCTGTTTAATACAACAATTCTTATACAAAGTCTTACATATATACGTTTTGGTATAATTTTGATACAGTTTCATATCAATTTTTTTGAGAAAGGAACGTGATATTAATGTCTGATAGGTATCGTTCAACTTTACAGTCCCTTTAAAGGGGCTGTAAACGTAATTTCAGGTGCCCCTAAACGATTCGATACGGTACCCTTTAGACCTTTCTCTCAGTATGTTTAATTGAGATGTCTTTAATTTTCTAGCTGAAAAGAATTATTTTCAATTTTTTTTTCTGTCGGAAAATTTTTCATTTCCATTTGGGGTTTTTTCTATAAAAGTGAAGTGCAGAGGCTTTATGATTTAGAGACAATGTAATTAATTTTGAGAAGGTTACACGTTTTAAGAATGAAAAACTGTTATTCAGTTGAGGTCCGGTGGAAAGGGTACCGTTGTGAATTGCAAATGCCACTATTTAATCGAAGAGTAACTTGAAATTACGTTTAAGATTATTATAAATATAAAGACTACGTTAAGTTTTAAAAGAAAATATTAAAACAAAATTTAAGAAAATCAAATATATTTTTTAGCACCCAAAACATTTATAGTATAATAGTATTAATAATAGTAATAATAATAATAATATAAATAATTGTAATGATAATAATAATGATGATAAAAATAACTAGATAAAGCCCTTGGATTTTTTTCAAAAAACGAATTTTCAGTAAAGAATTTCGATTTTTGAAAAAATGTTGAATTTTTAAGTTTAAATTAAAAACATTCAATCCTTATTAAAGATTACTTCGATAATTATTAATGTAGGAAAAGGGAATTCAATTTAAAGACCTCGCATCCACAACAAATTTTTTTGTTATGCCCATACACTAGCATAATACAATATATGTCCACTCCATACACTAGCATAATACTATATATGTCCACTCCATACACTAGCATAATACAATTTATGTCCACTCCATACACTAGCATAATACAATATATGTCCATGCTTAACATTTTAGTTGTTGTATTTAAAGGGAATGTAAACGTTTCACAACGTTACTTTTCAAACCTTTGTTTGATCAATGTATTCAAATTTTTTTTTTAAACGGTTCATTTCTTATTTGTGGGTTCTCTACAAAAATGTCTTGTGCATTGAAGCTTCAGGAACAAGTGGAAACATTTTCAGAATTTAATAATTTTCAAATTAGAAAAACGTGATTATCTTCCATATCTATTGATCAGATTATGGGTCATTAAAAGATACGATGACATTCCCTTTCAGGAAGACCCTATATATTAGCTTGGTAAAAGGAAGACCCTATATATTAGCTTGGTAAAAAATTGAAGATTTCCTCTACTTATTTTAGTTTCATAAATAAAAGCGATTTAAAAGATTCAATTTTTTATTAACATAACATATAATGCCGTACTTAGTTCTTACTAATATTGCATGCTTATTTACATAACAATATAACATGTAGTTTCCGATTTTGATTCTTAAAGGCCTTACGGAACCTTTCTTAATGCTGTTGAGAACGTGGAATCTTTCTTTATTAGTAATAAATATACCTACAAGATGCTACACAGAGCTAGAGCTTGGTGTGACATGTGGAAATAAGTTTACGGGACCATTATTCCGGAGCATATTCAATATGGATAAATCGTCCCGTAAACTTTTTAGCTCTGTGTTTACTGTTTATCATCTCTTGGGTATACTTATTTTAAAGACGGTTAAGCAAGGTTCCACCGTTAGTTTACAAAAGTTTTTAATGGTTTAATATTCTTAAAAACTTAAGGAAAGGTTCTGCAGGGCCTTTAAGGAATCAAAATAATCCGAAAAAATGAACCTAAAAAACATAATTTGTTCGGGGTTGGATATTATTTAACAGAAAAAAACAAGGACATATAGTGATAGCGGGGGATGATAAAAAAGTATTTTTTTAATAGCTTTGGAGTATGTTGATGAATCTAAACGTACTCTGGTGGGTAACCTAGGTTTAGCCCTCTTCCTTACCATCAGGTGTGATTTTCATATAAATATTTTGACTTTCATGTTTTTAAACATAACTCTTCCTTTTCAAAGTTATGAAGAAAAGCTATGTTTCGAACTTCTAATATGCAACTTAATAAATTTCAAACTTGTATATAAAATCAAAATAGAACGAGATCACTAAACCAGTCAATATGGAATCTTAACCCTTTTCTGAACCCTAAATTTGCGGTGGGGGGGGGAGGAGGTGTTCGACGCCCCCCCCTCTAGTTTCCTTGCTCTAACTTTTGACACAATCTTTGCGACAATCTTTTTTTCAGCAAAACTAGAATTTTTTTTCGATTTTAGAAAAATATTTCCAGTATATTATTTGTATTTTTCTGTTTAGTGGTATTTATCAACCCTGGTTGATTAAAGGGGTTGGAGACTGGAAACCTTTCTCCTGGATAATATTCTCCCAGGTGAACTCAACCTTTACATTCTTTTAAAGAATTAGTTCATAATATTGTCACTAGATGGCTCTTGCGGCAGCAGTTCCGTGGGTTATGCCTGAGTCTAGTAGGTAAGTTTTAGTATTTTTTACATACTTCCATTATCAATTGACGGGTTAATTATCTTTTATGTCTGGAAAGAATGGAATTCTAGCTATTTTCTTGCTTGTCTTAATGTTATTGTTATTGAAATTAAACCAATGTACAAAAAGGTTCAAATAAAGTTTTAAAAACAATGATGATATTAAAAGAAAAAAATAGGAAAAGCGATGATAATTGTAATAATTATAATAAATTAAATAATATATAATTCAAATATTTAGATGGTTGATGTCTCAAGGCAAGTCTGACAAAGCAGTTGAGGTTATGAGAAGGATTGCAAGGATAAATAAAAAGGAGGTGATAATGATAATATTTCTGACGATGATGATGATGATGATGATGATGATGATGATGATGATTATGATGATGATCAATAATCATTATAGGTCCCTGAAGAAGTTTTTGAGTCTTTTCGAACTCTTTGTACCAAAGAACAGGAAGCTGAGGGGTCAGAGTAAGTTTTTTAATCTTTCTTAAAAAGTTGTTGTTCAACAGCTGATTTAAAGATAGTTACTGTTCTAATACATTTTAAGTAAAATCAGCTGATCAAATATGGCAACTAAATCTTATCAGAACTATATGGCGGTAATGACATTTAATTTAAAGGTTTATCGCTTTCAAATAGAAAAACAACAAAGTATTCCTACTTGTTTCTCAGATAAGGCCGGGTGTAAAGGGTAAAACTCTTTAAATAGTGGGTCACTTGACATTTTGTACACAGTCCCTTTAAGACTAAATTACTTTAGAAATAAGAAGAAGAACTTAACATTCCTGGATTTATTTCGGCACAAAAATCTACGTAAAATAACTATTTTAATAATTATTCTTTGGATGGTAACAGCACTCGTCTTCGATTCAACAGTCAGGTAAATATTTATATTGTCAAAGTTAATTATGAATTGTAGTTCAACTATCTGTACTAGTTAAACTACAACTTGCTTTCATTAAACCCGACCTAATGTTTTATTCATTGTAATAACAAGGGTTACAAATAATGGTTGAGACATCATAGACGACTTTACAAACATTAATCAATCTTTGTTCTTGTATTCGTGGTTAAAGCCATGAAAACCCAATATTAAAAACAGAAAATCAAATTTAATCTTAAGGGCATTATATTTAAGATAATTTCATATCGTCAATACGATGCGATCCTTCTTTATGAGCACAACGCTGTAGAAAACATTGATATAATTTAGGAATGTTGAGAATTTGAACTTTTCAATTTATATTTCGTTCATGATATCAACAGGTCTAGAGCTACCAGCTGATCTGCTTTCTATTATTGGTAAGCGGTTCTAACATAATCTTAGAAATATTCAACATAATCTTGAGTCACGGAAGTTCGTAGTAAGATTTTGACTCCACTGGAGACCACCGGAGGGAATTCTTTTTCACTGGAGGGGTTTGAAAAAATGCTTTTTACAATTCAAAACTTTACGCAGGGTGATTTACATTCCACTAGAGGGATTCAGATGTCCTTCCTGGGGGGTTATAATTCTACTGGAGGGATTCAGTTATCCTTCCTAGGGGTTTATAATTCCACTGGAGGGATTCAGATATCTTTCCTAGGGGTTTATAATTCTACTGGAGGGATTCAGATATCCTTCCTAGGAGTTTAAAATTCCACTGGAGGGGTTCAGATATCCTTCCTAGGAGTTTAAAATTCCACTGGAGGGATTCAGACATCCTTACTGGGGGTTTATAATTCCACTGGAGGGATTCAGTTATCCTTCCAAGGGGTTTATAATTCCACTGGAGGGATTCAGATATCTTTTCTAGGGGTTTATAATTCCACTGGAGGGATTCAGTTATCCTTCAAAGGGGTTTATAATTCCACTGGAGGTATTCAGATATCTTTCCAAGGAGTTTTTAAATCCACTGGAGGGATTCAGATATTATTCCTGGGGGTTTATAATTCCACTGGAGGGATTCAGATGTCCTTCCTGGGGGGTTATAATTCCACTGGAGGGATTCAGATTGGAAGGATAACTGAATCCCTCCAGTGGAATTATAAACCCCCAGGAACTTAGGAAGGATATCTGAATCCCTCCAGTGGAGTTATAAACCCCTAGGAAGGATATCTGAATCCCTCCAGTGGAATTTTAAACCCCTTGGAAGGATAACTGAATCCCTTCAGTGGAATTATAAACCCCCAGGAAGGATAACTGAATCCCTCCAGTGGAATTATAACCCCCCAGGAAGGACATCTGAATCCCTCCAGTGGAATGTAAATCACCCTGCGTAAAGTTTTAAATTGTAAAAAGCATTTTTTTAAACCCCTCCAGTGAAAATAAAATCCCTCCGGTGGTCTCCAGTAGAATCGAAATCTTACTACGAACTTCTTTGAGTCCATAATCTTACATATATCTAATGATAATAAGCAGTCCTAACATTATTTTTTTTTATAATCTTAAAAATTTGTAACATAACTTTACAATGACATGTATCTACCATGATCGATTTTTCTACAGTTGGTCCTAATATTATCTTAGATATATCTATCTATATAACAGCTGATAATTTTTTATCTATTATTGGTGCTTATTATTATTGGTCTTCATAAAATTAAATTTTAATTAAACTTCTTTTTGGATATTAGAAAAAGATATACATGGTTGTATTTGTGTAGCATTCAAATCTAATACACTCATTGGTTAAGGTCAGAGAGACCAAACTAAAAGTATGTAATAATTGATAAATGCATATATTGTTTAGGATTGGAATATATGGGGAGAAGGTGGTCTGCTTTTCTTTCTTTAGGTAAATAATTTTACCTTAAACTGTTTCAAACAAAGGAATTGAGTCTTTGGAACAAAATCAAATATTTAAACCTCAATATCTTTAGAACTCGATGTTGTTATCTTTTGATTTCAAAATCAAATTATTTGATCTAACAGAATTCATAGTTTGAAATATCTAAGGTCTGCAACATTTGGTTCCAAAGAGATAGTGATTAGAAAATCAGAGTTTGTGGCAAAGACTCAATTCCTTTGTTGAAAAATTTCAAAAAAATTTGTTGAAAAAAAGCGTTGAAATAAAAGATGTTTTGTAAATCTTGACTTCTTACTGCAAACTTAACAGAAGGGTAAGGTATAATTTACGCAACATTACTGATTAAACTTGGTGACCTTGTAGCTCCTCAAAATCTGATTTTACGCACAAGTATGATAAAAATATCATCTGGTTATTTCAAGAAATTTAAAACATTTTTGTTCTTTTTAATACTCTTCAAGAAAGAGGGTGTGTTGATTGGAAACCTGTCAGATTTCAATTTTACTTTAGTTTAACGTGTTCTAGAGAACCCAGATAACAAAAAAAGTAAGAAACTGATGACGTAAAAACCATTTTATAAATATGTTTTTTTTTCAGGGCTAGCTGGCCTTTTCATGCTCCTTACTATACCAGCGTTAGGTAATACAATCAAATTAAATCAAAATCTCTTTTAAAAATACGTAATTTTATTTTTCGAACGATGCACGCACCCTCTCAGTCATAATGCTACGAAAAAAGACAAATATACTGCAGATATGTTTAAGTGGATAAAATGCCATACTCCAATAAATCCTGTTTATACCCGTATCAATCCAGGTACTTCTCAATCCCTCTCGTTAATCATACAAGGCATAAGAACTAGTTAGTTCAATAATACTTTACTATCAATGTCAATCCGGACACAGCTTTAGCTTTATCAATACTCAATCCCTTTCGATATTATCGGTGAGGCATAAGAACTATTGTCAGTTTTACAATACTTTAATATCATTGTCAATCCGGACACAGCTTTAGCTTTATCAATACTCAATCCCTCTCGTTAATCAACGAGGCATAAGAACTATTGTCAGTTCCACAATGCTTTACTATCAATGTCAATCCGGAAACAACTTTTTCTGTATCAAATTCCCAATCTAGTTCTTTCGTTCAAGAGAGTGATTCAGGACGCTTCTTGTTCGTAAACCAAGAATCAGTTACTCAACACTGTAATCAAGCAGAGTCTAATTCCAACTAAATATATTTCGGGTTCTATCTTAAAAGTTAAGTTAATCAATGCTTTACGACGTTATACAAGCATAGTTTTGCTAATTACAATACAGGTTGGACGTAGACTAGTTGTTTACAGACTTAACTGGGTTAGGTTGATTGCAATACAAGTTTTCCGTAGCTATTTACAAACGTAGATAAATAATAAAGTAGCTCAGTTTTACAGATATGTTACATGATATTCCTTACATAAGGTTGATATCTAGGAAATGTTTGGGTTGCCGGAGTACTATCTATGATGGGAAGGTTTTGTGCAACCTATGCTATGAACACAGGCTTCCAATTCACCGTAGAGGTCAAGACATTTTTATCTACAGTTTTTTTAAAGACATAATTTTTGGACAAAAATTTAATTTATTAAAACCAAAAACCATAAAGGTTAAAGTTTAGTCTTGAACAGAAAAATGAAAATAATTAATCACCAAAAATCATTCAGATTCAACTCATAAATGAAATGAAATTCACAATAAAGGTTAACTGTTGACTGTTTTAAATAAAAGTTTGTAATTTCAGTAATGATATTCCATACATTTTGTCCCTCAATTTCAAGTTTGTATTTGAAGGTGATGCCTACAGAACTACGTGGTCAGGGAACTGCTCTAGCAAGTATAATGTCCATGGCTGCTCAGATAGCTTCTCCGTACATAGTGTTTTCGGTTTGTACTATGTACTAATATGAATAAATAAATCAATAGATGAATAGTTTATAAAGCACCATATACATATACAGAGGTTAAAACACATTGGTGAAGTCTAAGATAGAGTTCCGGGAAATTCGGAGAGCTCACTAGATAAAATAATTCGGAGAGCTCACTAGATAAAATAATTCGGAGAGCTCACTAGATAAAATAATTCGGAGAGCTCACTAGATAAAATAATTCGGAGAGCTCACTAGATAAAATAATTCGGAGAGCTCACTAGATAAAATAATTCGGAGAGCTCACTAGATAAAATAATTGATTAAATATCCCAATTAGGCTTGCCTTACATACTACATAGTGTACTCGGTATGTACTTTAGTAAATACAATAACATCCAAGATTTCCTCATTGTACAAATTGTAATTTTCTTGTATCATCAATGTGCTGCAATAGATGCTTATTATTTTCTAGACCTATTACATACAGTAGTCGGCGGTTATATCATTACAATGAAGACGAATTTTTAATTATAATGCTTTGTGGTTTAATAACCTTTTTAAAATTACAAGTTTACAAGGAAACGAAGAGATGACGATGACTGAATATTACATATTGTAATGTCTAGGCAATCTATCTATCTATCTATGTATATGTGAAATCCTATTCTTTATTATTTTAGGCCTCCATTGATCCTACTTTACCCTTCTACTTGATCGGTGTACTAGGAATACTTGGAGCTATACCAGGACTATTCTTACCAGAAACTGCAGGTAAAGACCACATCTTAGAATTTAACAGGTTTTTCCAGAATCTTTCCTACATTCTGAAAGGTTTTACATCGGTATGTTTAAGGATATCTACTCGATATAAAGCAATACTTATCAATAATTATATTGACTTAAACTCTTAACTAGGTGAATTTAGAAAGCATTTGGTTTAAATAAATTTTATATAAATATACGCAATCACCCTGAACAAAAAGTTTTCTCAAAATTTGAACTTTTTTAGGTTTATGGGACAATTAAAAAAAATGCAAAAAAATATTTCTGACACCCCTACGCAAAGTACTTCCATATAATTCACCAAAACCAATACTGCTGTCCTTCAATATACAGGGAGATGTTCATCTCTCTAAACATCCCAGGGAATGATTTTACAGGTTCAAAGAATGTACGAACTAGAAATAAGAAATGAGATATTGAAGGAATATTCTTATTCAAGTTTTAATGTTGTACACTGTAAAGGTTAGTACGAAAACATAATTATATTTAATATTTCAGAGTTAAAATTAGAATCCGGGAAGATCGTTAATAAAAAGAGAGAATATTTTTTGTTATAAACAATTGTTTTTAAATGTCTAGAAATAATTCTAAAACGTAGTATAGTGGACTTTGTCCTATTCTGAAAGTTTTTTCTTGGTAACAATTATTTCTTGTTGATTAAATGTTACCTAACATGCATAACAAGTTTAAAATAAAAATACGTAACCCGTATTTAAGTTGTTATGTCAGATAGAATATATTGCAAATTATTGCAATATATTAAAGATTGCATTTCCGTTAAATATTAATCAACCACTGCAAACTAAGATGTGCAAGCTCTCACGCAATAATCAAACAGTATTTTTCCAATTACTCCTTTTAAACTTGAGCTAGAAACAAGCGCGTTACATTTTAAAATGTATATGCCTAGGGCTACTAGAAAGTATAAGTGTATTGATGAGGTAAAGCCAATGGCCAGTGCGGTTTGACGTTTTAAAGTAGAGAGGCCGTCTAACAATTTTAATGACTAACTTTCAGAGTTGTCTAGATCTCCGTGCAACTTACTTTTGGTATTTTCCTTGCGTGCTTCAGACACCTTTACCTGTTAAACTAGTTTTTAAAGAATAGTTTAATTAAAAAATTTAAAAAAAAACATTTTATCTCTAGAAATAAAAGGCAGAAAAATATTTCTATAAGGGACTGTGAACATAAGTTCAAGTGCAAATTTTAAAGATTATTTTTACTAGTTTCTCTCAAATCTTCGTATAAGCAATATTGAACAAAATATATGAAGATTATTGATAATAATAATGATAAGTGTCTGGTGGATTGAGCTTCACAGACCAAATATATAATTTTAGAATTTTGCCATTTTCCTTTTCTTCCTTGATGTTGTTAAGAAAAATGTATAAAGGGTTTAATAGGGCATTGAATTTTTGAAAATTATGGTCACTTTACAGTACAGGTAGTTCTAGAGAGGACCTTAGTAAAGATATCTTACTAAGCTAATTTTTAAACTTATTTCCCCGGGGATTCTGGAGAAAATAATTTGATGAAAACCGTCCTTCACATATCCCACCAGTATGTATTTCAGAGTTACCAACAAAGGGTGAGACTGTAAAGACGACCTAAACCTCATATATGGTGACGAATATTCCGTGTAATCGTCACTGAAGTCTCATACTTTATAAATAATCCAGTAGAAACCGATAAACATTATCTTTTTCAGAGCAGAATCTATTCTTGGTGTTAATTGTATTGTTTTTAAGGAACAAACTTGCCAGATACAATTGAAGAAACACATCAGTATGGAAGGTAATATTTTCTATTCAAGGAGGTAATTCGTGAAACACAAAAAAAGGTTTGAAAAAATCTTTTTTTACAGCGGTTGACGTTATATTAGTACAATGAAGACGACGTTTTGATATAAGTTTTGATTTCTAACCAGCTTTATTCAAATTACAAAATTATAAGTTAACAAAGTGAAGCTGTTAAAGGGTGGTCGCAAAAAAACCTGTCTGTTTACTTTTTGGGCCTCCTTCAAAAAGCTATTAAACAAATCTGTTAAAATTTTTTGAAGTTAATAGTAAATGGACTAAGGTAGAAAATGAAACATTCCAAGGCACATTCTGATGAAAAATGTGCATTAGCTTGCCGGTCTAAACACTATTTTCTTAATATCCCAGCTGCCAGCAAATCCATAAAATTTGCAGGATCGATCACAAACTTAATCTCTGATTATAAGTTATGCAGTTGTACCTTTATAGCAACATTTTTAAAGGATCCCTCTGTTCCTTTGATTCGCATCTTCTTTGTCTTTTCTTGGTCCTCGGGGCAGTTTTTTTTATTTCATAGCCTCAAGGATCTTGTAGAATCATAAATTTATTAAACTTTATTTTTCTCTGCTAAAAATAATTTGTTAAAAGTTTTTAATGGTTCTGATGAGAACTGGAACACTTAAACCGAATTTTTCTATTCATTTAATATCCCTTTAGCTGGTAGCAGAGAGTAATGAATAACAGAATTATAAATAGCTCGTGAGGATTTGAAATGAGAATTTATCTTTTAATCCCTGTTACACATGTACTAACTTGATTGTCGATTTAAAGAATTATTTTGTTCAATTATCAATGGTTTGAGGATCTAAAACTAAAAAGACATGTTTTTGTAGACCCCTCTTTGATTTGACCTATTCTCTTTTTCATGTTTAGTTGTATCCATGCTGTTTGAAAACTTGATTGAAATTAATATTGAAATCGAAAGCTGTCTTTATGATATTGGTTTGTATGAATATAAACCGTGCAGTTGTTTTAAACTAAAATAATTAAAAGATATTGAAACGATTCTACCAATAAAATAGAAATACGAGTTTTTAAATTTAAATTTTTTTGTGGATTAGAATCATTTACGATACGTGATCCAATCCTGTCCAGACCCAGGACCCACTTTAATTATCAGTTCTTTTCTTTGTAAATCAAAACCTTAAATTTCATTTTTCAGATTGGATAATTTCTTCTGGTTTCCCTTAATGGGACCTAAAAGAAGATATAAGATATCGAAAGAGGTAAAAAAGGAAATAAAAAATTTAATACCATTTTTATAAATTTTGTGGTTTATTTTATTTAAATTAGGTTGGAGGAAAGGTGATAAGTTCTGAAAATAAAGCGTACATGAAGACAAACTTAGAAGAAAATATTCCGGAAGAACAGTCGGAGGAAAAACCTGATGAATCTGGAAAAAATATGCAAGATAAATCTAACGAAAATGCACAAAATAAATCTGCAGAAACTGTACAAAATAAATCTGCAGAAACTGTACAAAATAAATCTGCAGAAACTGTACAAATTAAATCTGCATAAACTGTACAAAATATGTCTCAAGGAATAAAGTAAAAATTGTGATGAAAGCATTTAAATGAACTCTTCCACACATATATTATATCAGTTGGCAATAAATACATTAAATATATATATTCCACAAAATAAGCATAGAAAATATATTTTCTGAAATTTATTCGCATAAATGATTGTTGTTAAAAGTAATTCAATACTTCCCAGTCTAAACTATAACTAAAGATAAAAGTTATTTATTTTAGTAATGTCTGAACAGTAAACACATTTAAGTATATAAATTTTAAACCAAAACTACTATACTCGGGTTGCAAGTAAAGACACAATCATCGAATACTTTGCATGTCTGGGTGTCTTTTTGTCTGTCCGTTTGTATCCAATCAACGTCTACACGGCTGAACCGATCGGGCCCAAATTTGGTGTGGGAATGTTAATGAATGCAATAATTACAAAAATAATTGTGTCCAAAAGTTTTTTATTTTTGTTGAATTTTTAAAATTGTCAAAATGTTATTAAATCCGCAAACTGTTTGTTTGGGTGTCTGTCCGTTTGTATCCAATAAACGTCAAAACGGCTGAAGCGATCGGCCCAAATTTTGCGTGGGACCTCACATGACCCCAGGGAAGGTTTGTGAATGATCGAATTTTTAAAAATTTGCCACTAACAAAATTTGATTTTTGAAAATTTTTAAAATCCACTAAATATTTTCGATAAAATCGGAGAAATTTTTTATTTGTTTTGTTTTACAATGTCACCAATTGAAATATAAGATGGGCGCGAAGCACCCTAAGAGCCTAGTTTTTTATCTATATATAAATTTGGCTTGTCTGTCTGTTTGTTTTGGTGTTTGTCTGTCTGTTTGTATCCAATAAACGTCAAAACGGCTGAACCGATCGGGCCCAAATACAGGGGTGTATATAATTCCAAATTTTTGATTCTTTTCCCCCCCCCCCTCTAAATTTTTTTTGAATTCCTTCCCCAAACTCGACAACTCAAAAGACATAGATTAAACTCTTCTTAGATTTATTATAGTATCATCAAAAAAAATTTACTCATTCTTACTTAATTAAACAGTAAAAAAAAGTTTCAACCCCGTCATTAAGTCTATAGAACGTTAAATGAAAAAGTGTAAAAACAGAAATAAAGAACACATAAAATTGCACTAATTTCACTAAAAGATAAGCACTTTAGTCTAACAATATCACTTTTATTTATAGTTTTGTCAGACAGAAAATTCGTGTTGACACTTATGACGTTTAATCAGCTGAAAGTGTACGCATTCTGTGTTGCCACCTATTGTACTTGACAACCTATTTGGTGTACTCAAGTTATATCTTTCTTTACAAAAAAGTTTAAATGCAGCTTTTCCGCTAATTTAAGAGTCCAGAAACATTTAGAAAATTCAAAAACAAAGAATTGAAAATTGAAAATTTCCAGATGATTGTTAAATTTCATGAAACTTTGAATATTTTGAATAATTTCTTGAATAAGTTGAAAATCCCAAAATAGATTTATAAAATTCTCGAGAATTCTAGTAGAAAGTTCAAGTATTCCGGAAAATATAATAGGTTCCAGAGGATTATTAAAATTAGGGAAAAGTTGACAGAATTTCGTGTGTGCATTCTACCAAACGTTGTTCGTTTTACTGACTGGTTTTGTCTAAATGGAAACTTTTGTCTTTACATAAGTTTAAGAGGCTTTAATGTTATTCTAGTACCTTGTTCTGGAAGATTCCCGAACAATTTTTCCAGTAACTTTCTTGGAACGATATTCCGGAACATTCCGGAACGTTGAGTGATTCCAAAACAACCTTCCAGAAATTTCCAGTTTACGGGAAAAAATTGTTCCGTAAATTGTTCCGGAATTCTGATTTCCAGAACTTTTTCCGTAATGGAAATTTCCGGATCATTTCTGTACATAAACGGAAACCCAGAATTCCGATGGAAACCCTTCTCGTACAAGCCCATCTAGAGAACCTGTGTGTAGTGGACCCAGTACGTTTTATGCAACAAATGTAGGCTGTAATGATCCATTGACACAGGGAGTCCATCAGCCATGTAATCATGGATACACAGAAGTGCAATCTGAGTAGAAGTATTTAATGGTACTGGCCGGTAAAGTTTAATTGTACTGAGTATGCAAGGTACCAGGTACCGGCCTGTCCAGTGTAGTCGTACTGAGTATGCAAGGTACCAGGTACCGGCCTGTCTAGTGTAATTGTACTGTGTATGCAAGGTCCCAGGTATGGGCCGGTCCAGTGTAATTGTAACAATTACTTTGATATTTGGACCCAGCACGCTTTCGACACAAAATGTAGGTCAGCTTGATATAAAGAATGTTGAAAATGAATATCACATTACAATGTCGTTAGGATGTTAGGACTACATGGTAGATAAGGTTAGGACTACATGGTAGATTATGTTAGGACTACATGGTAAATTATCGGATTTGGTCAACTCTGCTCAGAATAAAGGTTTTTGTTTTGTTTTATTAGCACTCTTTATATGGATACATGCAGAATTTTTTTCATGAACCCCTTAATTACAAGTAGAGATTTACAATAGTAAGAAAATACCACTGGTTCCAAAATGTGGTCTGCCTTTTTGTTAGAATCTGACTGCCTAGGAAAATTCTTGGTGGTGGGGGAAGAGTTTATATGGCGGATATAGATGAAACCAAAGGCAAGGAAACTATCGAAGAACTACAAACTGAGTTTGGCAAGGTAATTTATTTCTCCAAACCCCCCCAAAAACATTTCTTTTAAAATATTTAAAAATTATTTTTCATCGTTGTGAGCAAAACATTTACTTTAATGCAGCTAGATATAAATACATTTGAGACAACATTTCTTATCTTTTATAAATGATCAATTTTGTTATTCTATTATATCACAATAATACTATTTTTAATCATCTGCCCAGCATTATCAAATAAAAACTTTATTTGCTAAAACATTGCTTAAATTTATTTGTTAAAATGCAAAAATTATATCAAAATTGAATTACAATATTTTTCCAAAATATTTTATCTGTATTTTGTCTTGTTCCAGGGTAAGATAGCTTTTGGTGTGCTAGATGTTAGGAAGAAGGAAGATTGGGATCAGGTTTGGAGTCAAGCAGAAACATTCTTCGGAGGTCAGGTTCAGGTTAGTTGGCCGGTCAACCTAAAATTTGAAAACTCTTTTTTAAATTTTTTTTGAAATTTTTGAGACTGATCAAATCTAATCTAATTATCGAGGAGTTTTTTAAGGAAATACCGAGTAGTTTTCATTCCAAATCATTTTAACAGATTCAAATCGACTCTTCACTAATTCCAATCTGACCCCATCTAACCTATTTTAAGATCTAATACAATTTAAGCTTTGAAAACCCTTGATAATGATCGATGAGTGGGTACAATTTTGGGAAATTACTCAGTTTGTTACAGAATAGGTTTCAAAGAACCATCTTTAGAAATTAAGCGTGAATAATATTTATATTTTAGGGATTTTGCAACAATGCTGGAATATTCCACGAGACGGATTGGATGAAAGTCAAGGAGATCAATATGGACGGAATGCTCTACGGGGCAATGCTAGCCTATGACAGGATGGGGGTAAGTCAACCACAGTGTTTACTATTGGAATTTTGGTTCGCGAAATTGCACGGAATTGTGCAAAATTGCATGGAATTTAAGGGCTAGCGATTGCACTCCAGTAAAAGAATCACAATTTATGCTATTTTAATACATGACCTGAAACTCTTAACAACATGATTTGAAGATTGAAATAGATCTTTTGCAATAAGTTTGGTCATTTAATGCTACAGTTAAAATCCATGAGATTTAATTGAGATGGTTAAATGATTTTGTCAGCAGAGTCTCTGAAGTCTCATCATCTTTAGTTGAAAATTTCAAACTAAATTAATAGAAAATAATAATAACTTTAAACTTTAGAAATAAAAATCTATCTAAAACGCAATTAGAAAAAGTAAACTAGTTCCAAAAAAATTATTTTACATTTTAGTGGTTTAATTTTGTATTTTTTTTCGTAGCTTTCTTTTTCATTTAAAAACTTTTTATTGAATTTGCCCCAAAGTCATGCCGTGTTAGGTTTTTTTTCACGTAAAAATGTAAGACATTTATTTGGTGAACATCTTGCCAAATTTAAATCCACAAATTAAACACTGCTATGTACTGTACACTGTACAGACACAGTATAAAATTAAATACACTACACATCATAAAGTACACATATGTCTAAATTAGCTATTGTAGGTTAAAAATGGTGGTGAAGGTGGGCTGATGGTAATAACCGGTTCTATGGCATCCTTCCTAGCTGACGGGTTTGACTCAGCACAAGGATCTGTGTACTCTGTCTCAAAGTTTGCTGTCGGTGGCTTAGTGAGAAGTCAATCCAGTAAAAAGATTTATAATATGTAAGTTTTTAACTCCCAGGGGCGGATACAGGATTTAAGTGAGGGGGGGGGGGGCAAGATTTTTTAGGAACAAAAAAATTCATAATTAGGAACAAAAGATCGCGCTGCAGGCGAAATTTTTTTTTGACTTAAAAGACTCAAAAAGAGTCAAAATTAATGACTAAAGACTAAAAAACTATATTTTTAACTTTTCACACATTATAGTTTATTAAGACAAATATTTTTCCTGTTTTACACTAGGGTTTCTTTCCCTTAAGCTATTGCTTAAGCTTATGCTATTGAGAAGCTATTCTGAAAATAGGAACAAAAAATTCCAGATTCAGGGGGGGCGAATGTCCCCCCCCTGTATCCGCCCCTGTAAACTCCTAATAAAGGTGAAGACTGAGTGTAGACTGTAGACGCCAGAAGTAATTTTATTTGATTAAAATCTGTTTTGTTGTTATTTAATCTTTTCAATGAGTGGATATCCGATTAACAATGGTACCCTTTAAACCTAATTGTATATGCACAAATAATGGAGTTATCGTTTTTGAAAATAGATTATTTCATAATTGCGCTATCTCTGTAAAAATTAACCAATTAAGTAATTAAACAGAATTTATCATTTTTTAGATAAAAACAAGAATTGCTTCTACATTTTAATTTATTCATACAGGGTTACAGGATTAGACTGTAAAGACGACCCCAAACTCTAAAAATATAACGATTGGAAGCATGCATTTTGGTTTCTGCATACAATTGAGTATTTTAATGATTACGAAATGATGAAGTACAGAAATAAGCCGGTTTTATCTTACAAGGAGAGCTGAATGTAATAAAACGGACTAAGCAAATTTCGTGCAATCGTCTCTGAAGTCTCATCCTTTGTGGGTAACCCTGTATATAGCTTTTTAAATGGCACAGTTTGTAAATTAGCATGTCGCTCTTAAAATGTATGGGTCACTTGAAATTACTTCTATATGTATTGATTTCTTTAGAATGACCGGTTTCAAACTACTCTCACTATATAAACTGTGTTTTCTTTAATTCTTTATTCAGATGGTGTTACTTGTTTGAAGAGAGTTTGAATGTTTAACTGAAATAGATTGAAGTATTATAGCAACAATATAACATTGATAAGAACAATTTTTATAATGATTTCATATAATTACTTACATGAATGTCATCTATTAATGAAAAGAAATCAAAGGATGTTTACATCAGCGTCCATGGTTGGTTTAGGCCTTACTGAACCAATACTCAGGATCCAGGCAAGCGCTCAGCAATTGGAATTGTACATATTCTATATAGTAAAATATGGGAAGAGATCAAATGCCTAATTTCAAAACACTCTAGTCCTTTTAAGATTTATGAAATGCATAATTTTGTTTTGTTAGAGATAAGGTGAGAACAGTTGGAATTTGCCCCTGGTTTGTTGATACTAACTTAGGTAAAGAATTCATTGATTTAATTTAGATTTAATTTATTTTATGAATTTAAAAATGTTAAGTTATTTAACACATTCAAAATGTCAAACCATGGATGCTTTAAATATTTCAGTTAGAATTTTGTGATTTTTGAGAAAATTGTTTATCGAAATATTTTGCCAATACAAATTAGGATTTTGAACAAATACTAAAAAATTCTAATTTTATCGACAGTTTGGGCAAACATTTTTAATATATATCTAATAGGGTTTATCTAAACTGATTAAAATTTTCATTTTCGAGTTTCATTTTCAAATAGTTAATCGAAATTTATCAAACATCTGGAAACCTTTAATTAAAAAAGAAATATGTTAAAGATAAAAAGGAGTGTGAAGGTAATTTTAATTTTTAGAGTACACTGTAAATACTAAAACGCAATATAAAAATTAGAATGTTTGGAAAAGAGAACCACAGAACTTTTTAAAAACAAATTATCCCTAATTTATGAATAAATTGAAAACTGAGGAAATAAAAAAATCCTTAATTTATTATTGTTTTTATATAGAAAATATTAATGCAGAACAATTCTTGTAAAACTATTTAATAAGCATGTCATTTGAGTCGAACAAGCTAATTGATATTAATATTTTTTTTTTTATGAAAACTGATCATTTTTATTTTTCCCTAAACAATTTTGCTGCAGAGACAATAAAGGCAATGGTTAGAATCTTAAAATAATCATGGGAGGAAAAGACAATTTCTTCCTCATTACTGAAATCAAGGTTTGAAGGGTACCATTGTAAATCTGACTTAAGCTACTTTTAAATTGGAGGGTTCCTTGAAATTACGTACAAAGTATCTATTAATATAGAAAAATTATTTTTAAAAGGGTGAGGGGGGGGGAGGGATGGTTTCAAGAAAAAAACACTTTCTAACAAGCATTGACTATATTTTCTTGTTTTGTTGTTCAGTTAGAACTAATACCAGTGTTGGTGTTATTGAGTCAACATATAAGATGAGAGTTCTTCAACCTGAGGAGGTAAAACTTAAAGGGAATGTTATGGTTTTTCAAAGGAGTATAAGCTAATGACTAGAAATGTTAGGAGTTGATTGGAACTAACAATAGTGGCTATCTGATGTTCCTGTCTTGAGAAATTGATATAAACAAAGAGGAGCTGCTTAATTATAGCTTCTATTTGTTTTCATGTTCATGATATTGATATTGATATTCAAGCTGTTTAAAAGCTTGGTAGAAATTAAAAATTTAAATTGAAAGTCGTCTTCATTGTGTTGATATTTACGACTTTGAAAGAATTTGAAAATAACAAAATGATATAAACACAATTTAATTGCTAGTTTTCAGAATTTTGATGTCAGTATTTGTATATGTAGTTAAACTAATTATTAATAGGTTGGGAATGCTTTTGAAAGACTAGTTGTGGAAGGACGACCTGGAGATATGCTAACCGTGATGCCAGGAACAACATTCTTCTGGCCTAATTGGAACAGGAAGCTCATCGTCCTTTTCGTCATGGCTTCGAAAATATCAAGAAAGGTGAACCTCTTAAAATTAAGATTGGTAATATATATGTATTTATATATTTATATTGCCATGTTTTTAAAGCTACTGAACACTGGGAAAAAATCTTGTTTGTAAATATTTTATTTTTAAAGCCAAAACCTTTCATAATCATAGAATGGGGAAGGGCCGAAGGGGGTGAGTTCAGGTGATCAAATAAAAATATCTTTCAATTATTTCTAGATGATTTAGAACACATTCCTGATTTAAAATGCGTTCTTAACTTAGAACGCATTCTTGATAATATAAACGGGTTCCTGATTTTAAACGTTCTTTTCAAAAATTTCCGTTCCGTTCCTTTACAAATCGTTCCAACATTATTAAGAAAGCGTTCTATGCGTTCTTTCTTTTTTCAGAACGATGGGATCGTTCAGTTCGTTCTTGTGAAAGAACGATCGTTCCCCAGGAACAACGCCCAGACCTACTTTTGAGGATCCACTGAAACTACTTGTACAGTCCCCTTAACCATTTCCTTGTCCAATACTCATAATATCTCATCCCTCATTTAACTGTTGTTAGATAATATTAATTAATTTCAGGTCTTTGGAATATCTTCTGAGAATATTATTACAGAACAGGATTTTCTAAAGATTGGAGTGGTTACTCTCTTCCTTGTATTCCTACTGTTCCATTGGATTCTTTCCTGGATAGGACTATAATACTTTCCTGGATAGGACTATACTACTTTCCTGGATAGGAATATAATACTTTCCTGGATAGGACTGTAAACTTTCCTGGATAGGACTTTAATACTTTCCGGGATAGGACTTTAATACTTTCCTGGATAGAACGTTGATAATTTCCTGGATAGGACTATAATACTTTTCTGGATAAGACTATAATATTCTCCTGGATAGGACTATAATTCTTTCCTGGATAGGACTATACTACTTTCCTGGATAGGACTATAATACTTTCCTGGATATGACTATAATACTTTCCTGGATAGGACTATAATACTTTTCTGGATAGGACTATAAACTTTCCTGGATAGGACTTTAATACTTTCCGGGAGAGGACTATAATACTTTCCTGGATAGAACGTTAATAATTTCCTGGAAACGACTATAATACTTTCCTGGATAAGACTTTAATATTCTCCTGGATATGACTTTAATACTTTCCTGGATAGGACTATAAAACTTTCCTGGATAGGACTATAATACTTTCTTGGATAGGACTGTAATAATTTCCTGGATAGGACTTTAATACTTTCCTGAATAGGACTATGATACAGTGATAACCAGAAAACAACGGAATAAGAAGACGACATTAAAGCAATACTAAAGTGTAATTGATGTTGTTACAAAGCAAATAGTTTTACTGGTCACTTATTAAATCATTAATTTAGATATTTGGGTCTGTTTACACTGCACAATTGTTGTGTCTCATGCTCATTGGACTTTTTAAAGTTATAACTTGATTCTAAAAGTCATCTTCCTATTCCAGAGTTTTCTGGTTATCACTGTACTTTCCTAGATAGGATTATACCACTTTCCTGGATAGGATTATACCACTTTCCTAGATAGGATTATACCCCTTTCCTAGATAGGATTATACCACTTTCCTGGATAGGATTATACCACCTTCCTGGATAGGATTATACCACTTTCCTGGATAGCATTATATCACTTTCCTGGATAGGATTATACCACTTTCCTGGATAGGATTATACCACCTTCCTGGATTGGATTATACCACTTTCCTGGATAGGATCATACCACTTTCCTGGATAGCATTATACCACTTTCCTGGATAGGATTATACCCCCTTCCTGGATAGAATTATACATCCTTCCTAGATAGGATTATACCACTTTCCTGGATAGGATTATACCCCCTTCCTGGATAGGATTATACCACTTTCCTGGATTTCCTAGATAGGATTATACCACCTGCCTGGATAGGATTATACAGGGTCAAAATCCGTACAAAAATTGTTACATTTTTAGAACAAATCCATACAATCCGTACATTTTTGGGGAAAAAATCCTTACAATTTGCACATTTAATTGGAAAAAGTCCGTACAATCCGTACATTTAAAAAAGGAATCCGTACAATCCTAATATAAAACTTTCTTAGAATTTCCCTTTTTTAAAATTTTTTCTGATTTCAAATTATTTATTTTGATGATTAACAAATATATTAAAAGATAAAATACTTAATTTTAACAATTCAAAACAATTGAATGTGATACAATAATTATATTGTTCCAGTTTTGTATCTAATAAAAAATCAAAAATAAAATTCGTTTAATTAATAATACATTTGTCGTCGTATATATCAATACAACGAAGATGACTTTCGATTTCAATTTTTGATCTCTACCAAGCTTTCAAACAGCATGGATACACATAAACATAGAAACCAAGAGAAGCTGTCCATTATCAGCTTCTATTTGTTTACATGTAAACTTGTAATTTGGAAAAAGTTGAAATTAAAACTTAAATAGAAAAGTCAACCTCATTGTCTTGATAAAAACGCCAACAGTGTAAACTGTACAAAAGTTCTAAATTTTCAGTTTAGATTTCAACTTCTTTTCAATATTAACAATCTTTTTCAAGTTTTCATTTACAGATGGCATGTTTTTGCATATCAGAAAGCAAAAAAAAAACACATTTATTTTAAATTCATTTTGCCAACAAAAGATTAAAAAAATCATTTTTTACGTTTAATTTTAAAACTGTTTGCTCTACTCATAGTAATCCTCTGAAATCAACAAGTGTAAAACGGTGTATATCTGTTTGAACTCCCGCCCTTTTAAACTATTGTTCGTTTGAACTATTGTTCATTAGAACTGCTGACATGACGTCATATCCTGTAGTTCAAATCAACACATTACTTGCTCATTTGAACTTTTTTTCTTAAACATAGAGCTGCAGTTTAATGTTTATAGGTAATGCAAATGGACATATACAAATAGATCAAATAAATCAAAATATAGTTCAAATAAACCAAAAAATATGAAATAATTAACCAAAAAATAAAGTTCAAATGAATGTATTATATCTGGGTTAGGTTAAGACAATTTCTTGGCCAAACACTGTTGTTTCGCTACTTAGCGATTTCCCTAAAGACCTAATGAAACTTTATAAGTACCGAGTGGTATTTCTCTGGACAGGATTGTAAGACTTCCTTCTCTCAACGCTCTCCATAACAAAAGGATGATAATAAGGTTCCGAACGTTTATTTCTCTGAGTCTTCAATCTAAATAATCTTTTATAAGCCCACAGAAAAAGCATTGAGTGATAAATCATACAAATACAGCAATAAATCCACTCAGGCATTAAAAAACTGTGGCAAGGAACCAATACATTACATTATACGATATCAACCATAACCGAACATAAATAAGCAAGATTCATATAAATATAAGCATAATTACCGCAGTGATCCTAGAATTTCACACGGTTTAATAATAGACGATCTTTACATGAAACACGAATATATACTAATGTAGAATCTGCCCGCTTCCACGCAGAAAACTTGCGCATGTGTATTCGGTCTGGAAACAGCTTCTAAAACTAGTTTTTTACAATACGTTCTGTACAGATCCTCAGGGAGAACTCAGAGATTCACAGGGGCATCACATAGACTTTATGAACGCAGCATGGCTCGCGTAACACTCCCCCAACCGAGAGCAAACAAAAAAGAAAAAAGTTATATCTGCACCCCGCGACTTAATCATCCTGATAACTCCACTAGACCTGAAACACAATCACTGGAATCTTTGAGAGTTTGAATTCACGTCTTATTTCCTAAAACATCCTGTCCTCCCAGGGAACATCCAACTCTAGATCCAACTCCTCAGGGATCGAAACCCTCGCTGATCCCTCAATCAGTTCATCATAAGTAGGGGTTCGCTCCACCACTTTCCTGGAGAACCTCAAAGCTGCACTCATCCTCTTGGGAGAGGCAACCTCTTCTGTCCTCCTCTCCTCATCCTCCAGGAAAACATCATCCTCCTCACTCAGCATCACCACCTCCTCACAGCCATCCTCCTGCTGAGGCCCGGAGACACTCTCTAAAGGGACTGAAAAAATTCATACCGAGAGATTCTCTAAATTCCCCTCTAAAATATAATCTATTCTCTATGTTTCAAACTTTGTGTATTTAACTTTGCGCTGCGGCCAGAAGTCCATCTATAAGCAGCTGTAAAACCACGTGCTAGTAGGTCGGAATGGCAGTAGGATGGATGGGCGTAGGTCCAGAAATACACCATCCTTAGAGTCATCTTTATTGGGACACACTGAATATCTTAGTATTAAAACCGGGTTTATTGACTTTATCCCTTGAGTTTTAAGCCTAAATCAACTTGGGTTCATAGTGTACGTACCAAGAAAAATAGCATCATCTCGAAGAGTACATAACGGGGAAAATATGAGTGTAAAGAGAGTAGAAAGGGTGCGATATTTACCTAGATTAATGCACATTATCAATTTTTTAAGGGATTAGATGAATTTTAGCCTGTTTGCCGTGTTCCGTACGTACATTGTTCAATTGTTAAATGTTATCTAAAATCATTTCTTATCAGCAATTTAATTTTCAGCTGCAGTCTCTCTTTTCTAGCCTTCAGATCGTTTCAAAGTATATTATATATTATACAGTGGTTACTAGAAAGCAGTGGAGCTTTCAGCATCTGTTTAGAAGTTGTACTACATGATAGTGGACCAGAGATTCATTGTGAATCGGACATGCCAATTTTAAAAATGGAGGATATAGCTTAAAATTACGACGTCAGTCCCTTTAAGTGCTTTCAAGAATCCAGATTTAATTGTTTTAAAATATTTTCAGGCTTCAAGATGAACCGGAATTTTCTTGTAACAGGGGGAGCACAAGGACTAGGATATCAGTTCTGCAGGTTCTATTGATACAGAAGACGACTGTTAAACTCAAGTTTTATTATTTAAAAAGTCGTATGAGCATAAAACACAGCAATTGCAAAATTCACTTAGTAAGCTGATTCTAAGGCTCTCAATACAACTATTTACTATAACAAAAATATTGTAGAGTATGAATTGCTTCATTGTCGTCTTCCTTTCCACAAATGTGTGTGTCCCACTGTACCCAAGAAATATAAACGTACCTGGAAACCTCAAAACCTTGTTTTTAAAGAAGTGTACTCCAAATAGGTTGACAAGTACAATAGATGGCAACACAAAAATCGACCAACTGCGCACAACGTCATATGTGGCAAATGAAAAAAGAAAGACGACATGTCCTCTAATTAGTTGGTAGGATTTCCAAGATTTGGTGGAGATAAATGTCGTCTTTGTAGGAATACGTAAAAAATAAATACAACTCAAAATTAGATAGAGTATTTTTTCACTCGTTTGGTGGCTTAATTTTTTTCTCTGTATATCTCTGTAAACTAAATAGTCTGAGGGAGGGGGGGGGGCGTCCAGGCCCCAGCCCTCTAAGTAGCATTAAAGTAAATATTTCTAGGGTTATTATAAGTTTACTGTTCAATTTCTAAAGCCAGCTAATTTTTTTAAAAAAATTTAGACTTCTAACTTTTTGTGACACTCATTCTTTATACGAATTTACAAAAAATCATTTGGATTACCTTGTTTTAAAAGTGAAGAAGTTTTGGTGGGTTTAAACAATGACTGAAGTATACACATTATACTGTCATACACAACAACAACAAAAAACAATAATAAAATACAAAAATGTTTTTAACTGTTTATTAAAACATAAATTGGCCTTTTTGTTTCAAATTTCAAATTCAGCCACAATTTCTGCTTCTTTTGGTTCTTTGGAAATTTAAATCTGGATGTCCCAGGGGGTGGACGGCATCCAGGCACAAAACAAGTTCTTTGCCTGCCCCCTAAATGAAAAAATATAATCAATGAAGACCAAAAAATATCTTAGTATGTGTTCATAGTATACCTTTAAAGTACACCCCCCTCCCCCCACCTTGATGGATTTAAAAAAAAATTAAAAAATCTATCGTTTTTTATCAAAACAAATCACACAGACATCCATATTGCGAAATAACTAAAATATCAATATTTCTAATGTTAACATGATTGTGAACATTTAATTAAAATTGTTGCCTCAGTACCCAATACCCTTACTCCAAATTTTTGCTTTGGACACCCTGTTTATAATATATATCTTCATAGACTTTCCAATAATTTCATAATTTGAGCACTTTTTATATATTTCTTACGTGTTCCCAAAAATAAGTAAAATACGACATTTGAGAAAAAATTAAATATCCTTAGAAGACGACATTTTATTAGAAAATTACCGTTTCTTGTTGCCTGTATTTCCCCTGGATCTGGGGGTTTATCCACGATTAGATTGTTCCAGAGCACTTCTCCAAAGATATCATTAAACATTTCTGAAATATGTTTTAACGTTAAACTTTCGAATTACAGAGTTAAAGGGTTATGTACAAAATCAGTTTCAACCCCGTCATTAAGTCTATAGAACGTTAAATGAAAAAGTGTAAAAACAGAAATAAAGAACACATAAAATTGCACTAATTTCACTAAAAGATAAGCACTTTAGTCTAACAATATCACTTTTATTTATAGTTTTGTCAGACAGAAAATTCGTGTTGACACTTATGACGTTTAATCAGCTGTAATGAAAGTGTACGCATTCTGTGTTGCCATCTATTGTACTTGACAACCTATTTGAGTTTATTTAAAATTGGCGAGTTACGACAAAAAAAAATTATTGATTGATTGATTGATTGGCCATTAATTGATTTATTATTGGTTGATTTTGATGCGCTTTTTGATTAATTAATTGTTTTTAAAGGTTACTCTGTACTCCATGTTTGTGTCCATCATGGCATTTTTTGCCCAAGTGAGTGATCCTGCCGTGGGAGGAACATATATGACGCTGCTCAACACTCTCACTAATCTTGGAGGTAACTAGGGTTCATCTTGGAGGCTAGGGGGGGCTTGATCCAGCCGGGGGAGAAAAATATATGAAGCTGCTCAATACCCTCACTAATTTTGGAGGTAACGAGTCCGGGATATATCTATGGGAGGGGGACATCAAAGCTTCCTGTATACCTTTTAACAAATAGGTTTATATATTTTATGGAACAAAAGTTTTTCCCTAGTTCTTCAAAAATCATCACCGACAATTTTGCGAAATCTTTTTTTATGTTTAGGTAATTGGCCCACGACATTAGCCCTGTGGTGTGTGGAGGGATTAACCTTTAGTTCTTGTCTGGGTGGGGAGAAGGCGGATGAGGGGTGTGGCACTAAGGATGAGCAGGAGGCGTGTCTAGTAGGTGGAGGCTCCTGTTCTAACTACCTAGACGGATACTATGCTGAGACTGGGATCTGTATTCTTCTAGGTACGTAGGAAACAATCTGAAACAATTTCAAGTAATATTTATAAATATTCATTTAAAGTGTCATTTTTTAGAATATAATTTAAAGGTTTATATCATTAAACGGTAAATCAAGTTTCAAGTTTGGAAATAAAGAAGAAACAATTTTAGAAAGTTGTTTAAGATTTAATTTGAAGGCAATTCCTGATGCACAACGTTTCAGGCATTGACATCTCTGCAAGGAGGGTCACTTGAAATTACGCTTACAGTCCTCTTTAAGCAGACTTTTAACCAGGGGTGTATATAATTTCATTTCCCCCCCCTGGGGGGGGAAGAAATCAAAGGCCCCCCCTGGGGGGGAAAGAAATCAAAGGTCACCAAAGAGGGGAAGGAAAGGGGAAGGGAAGAAGAAGGGAAGGAGAGGGGAAGGAGGAGGGAAGAAGGGAAGAAGAAGGGAAGGAACCAAGAAAATCAGTCTCATGTCCCTGTAGACTGTTTTACTGTTTAATTAAGTAAGAATAAGTAAATTTTTTAGATGATACTATAATAAATCTAAGAAGAGTTTTATCTGTCTTTTGAGTTGTCGAGTTTGGGGAAGGAATTTTTAAAAGATTTTGAGGGGGGAAATCAAAAATATTGAATTATATACACCCCTGCTTATATATATAACCGTTGATAATCACGAAACCTCCTCACTATAATCTCTTCGATGTTACTATTTTGTGTAATTGCTCCAGTGGCTTATGAGAAAAATTCCCTTAAAAATTTGGCTGATGTACAAAGTTGTTGGTTGCCCAGGAATTTTTCCTGAGAGAAAAGTTATTAACGAAATGCCATAAAAAATGCCATTTTTTATGGCATTTTAACTTAAAAGGACTGAAAGCGTAATTTCAAATGACGCTCCATTCAAAGATGGCAATGTCCAGTTTGCAACGGTACCCCTTAAAACCTTAATCTGATCAAAAAAATTTAAAGATATCGTCGTTTTTCTGACTCTACAAGTATATATTTCTGTGGGTTTCTTCATTGCTACTTATAAACAAGAAAAGTCCAAGTCACTATCGCAGACGCAGAGAAACCGGAAATGAAAAGGAACAAAAACATTGAAACCGAATTCATACTTGAGTAGACACAGCTTTCAAGGGTACCGTTGTAAATCAGACATTACCATCTTTTCATGGATGGCCAGTTGAAATTAGGCTTACAGTCCCTTTAATAAAGTATCTGTGGTTTAGGTACAATATGGTTGGTATTCTGGGGGAGTAAAACTATCACTAGATTACAAGATGCTCCTCTAGACACCTGGAGAGTTGTTAAACAGAAACAAAAATCTGAAGATTAGAATAATTCGATTTATTTTGTTGTTATTTTATAAGTATTTTTATCGACGTTGCATTTCTGTTGAAATTTAAACCTGCGGGTAGAACGTGTCCTTTTTATTTTTAGAAACGAAAATTTGATTTTTAAAATTTGAAAAGTTTATTAATTTCCTAAAAATGATAAAATAAGCTCAAAAAAATCTAGTTCTCTTGCATCACATTTATCTCACCCTTTTCATAAGTAATTGATTGCAAGAAGTCGTGATGAAAGCACGCGTGATCACTGATCATGTTTTGGTAACGGTGATGTAGTGTTAATATAATTTTTATACAAAGATGTAATTATTGCCAATATGTTTTCTTTATAGCGCTGCTGTAGCCAATCATGCACAAAATACTAATAATACACCAATACAAGTTAATTCACGGAAACTAAATTTACATACAGATATTTTGTCATTTTGATGATAAAAATGGCACCCTAGGAGTGGTTGATTTGACAGGGGAAATTGAAAAATAATAGAGAAAGTGTTAGTAACCCTGTATAGTGTATATTTAGTGTATTATTTTTCTTCACATTTAAATTAAATCATATATTGCAAGCTCTTGTGATCTTGTTAATTCGGGTTTTCATTCCACAAGAAATTAACGGTTACGGTGGTTTTTTGTTATCCGTATAAAGATAAAATTTTGAAGAGCTTTTATGAAATTGTACAAAAAATAATATCGTTCCTATGTCAACCGATCTAGTAAGCACGAACTAAGATTCTTCTAACCTGAAACAAGTCTTCTTGAATATCAGAAACCTTCAGTTTTGTTTACTGCAGGTCGGTTAACATATCATCAAATTATTCAGTAAAATCACTTTAATTTGAAGGAGAATGTGTCTTGTTTATGTTTAACTGTGATACTGACGAACGTTTAATGTAATTGATTTTTATCCATGCCTTAGCAATTCAAAATAATTTTGTTTCTGTAAATTTTTTTTAATTCATGGCATTTCTGCAAACCATTATGACCAGATGAAGCATGTCAATAATTTTGTTATCCTTTATTTGTTATTGTTATCTTTTCATTAAATAAACATATTATCACTGATCATGTTAACCATATTTAGAATTCTCGTATAGTGTACAATGTACATATTGTTAATGAACAGGTTCATTTAATGTAAAAATGTGCTAGAATTAGGAATAGAGTCAACCATAAGCAACTTAACGTAAAAGTAAGTATTCACGTTGTTAAGTATGAAAGTCATGTAAGTAGGGTGTCCAATGCAGGTGGATGTTACTTGCGAGCCCTGTAAACTCCGCGCAATTCAAGAACAATTCCGCGCAACGGAATCCCGATTGGAAACCCTACATGTATAAGCCTGTACCAATTCCGCTTTTTGAATCTGTAAATTTACTTTATCATCCTTATTTTTATGATGACCGGTGTATCTGGGTATACTGGAGGACCACTATCCGAGTAAAATGATGACCACTGTATCTGGGTATATTGAGGACCACTTTATCTGGGTATATTGAGGACCACTGTATCCGAGTAAAATGAGGACCACTGTATCTGGGTATAATGAGGAACACTGTATCCGTTTAAAATGATGACCACTGTATCTGGGTATAATGAGGCACACTGTATCTGGGTTAAATGAGGACCACTGTATTCGAGTTTAATGAGTACCACTGTATACTGGTAAATTGAGGACCAGTTTATTAATATTTATCCCTGTTTATGTTAACGTGGAAGTTGACCAGTTCCTGTCAACTTCCTCTTTGTACTTTACTATACACATTGTACGCAAATATATATTCAAACATCCAGTGTTCACTCTCTTGAGTAGATCTAGACTCCGACCTTTACAGACCAGTGTATTTGGGTATAATGAGGACCACAGTATCTGGGTATATATTGAGGACCACTATATCCGGGTTTAATGAGGACCACTGTATCTTAGTAAAATGAGGACCCTTAGCTGGGTATAATGAGGACCACTGTATCCGGGTATTATGAGGAGCACTGTATCTTAGTATAATGAGGACCCTTAGCTGGGTATAATGAGGATCACTGTATCCGGGTATATTGAGGACCCCTGTATCCGGGTATATTGAGGATCACTGTATCCGGGTATATTGAGGACCCCTGTTTCCGGGTATATTGAGGACCACTGTATCCGGGTATATTGAGGACCACTGTATCTGGGTATATTGAGGACCACTGTATCTGGGTATATTGAGGACCAATGTATCCGGGTATATTGAGGACCAATGTATCTAGGTACTGCATACAATGCACTGAATTGTATCTCAGGTTGCAGAGTTCAGTAAATTATCGTAAATAACTGTCAATCTGCCAGTATTCATGGTAAATATATGAATAGAAGTAGGCGTAACTTTTCCTACGCCGTAGGGGGGGGGGTAGATTTATAATTCAGTAGGTGTGGCCTGTAACTGGTGGGAGGGGTGTGAATTGAACTGGAATTTACTATTTTCCCCAGGGGGTGGGGAGGTCTTCTACAGTAGTCACAAAACATGAGACGACTATATGGAATTTTTATTATCTTTTTACTTTTATTCATAATTCCCTGCAACTGTAAACTTGTTTCTTTCTCAGCCAAGTCATGAAGTAAGCCATCAAGAAAATAAGTTTCAGGTCGTCTTTACATTCTCATCCTTTGTCGACAACTCTGTAGTTATATAGAGCTTAAGGGGGTCAAACTATTCAAATCGCCACCAGCAATCCTTCCTTTTATTTTGGAACTATTATCAAATATGAACATTGAACATCTGCAAACATTTGGGGCATCACTCGATGCCCTCCCAACAATAGTAATTATATAACCAGGTAACCAGGACCCGCAGAGAAAATTAGCTTATTTTTTAAGCGAGATCTTATATAAACATGAGGAACTTTCATATTCGCAAACAAAGTACTTTTCAAGTAATTGGCATTTTTAAAACATTTTCGGCAAAGCACCAATTGTAGTATTTAATCTATTTTTCTTAATATATTCCTTTAAAATATTCAAATGGAAAGCGAATGGAAGTAATACATAATTTGTCTTTTTTTTATTTAAAATTGTTCAGAACTTTCTAGTTCGTTTAAGCATTTTTATCCCCCATATCCATTCGGAATTGAAAGATGGTTTTTGATTTTTAAATTTTTTTGTGGACACTCGTTTTCAGAACCAACCAACAAATCTTACGTGAATATTTTGACTTTGTTTAGATTTGAGATTAATGCATTCCTTGGACAGTTTATTAATATTGGACTAACATGTTCCCGGTTTCTGATTTGTCTGATTCAGCTGATTTGTCTGATTCAGCTGATTGGTCTGATTCAGCTGATAGGTCTGATTCAGCTGATTGGTCTGATTCAGCTGATTTGTCTGATTCAGCTGATTTGTCTGATTCAGCTGATTTGTCTGATTCAGCTGATTTGTCTGATTCAGCTGATTGGTCTGATTCAGCTGATTGGTCTGATTCAGCTGATTGGTCTGATTCAGCTGATTTGTCTGATTCAGCTGATTTGTCTGATTCAGCTGATTTGTCTGATTCAGCTGATTTGTCTGATTCAGCTGATTGGTCTGATTCAGCTGATTGGTCTGATTCAGCTGATTGGTCTGATTCAGCTGATTTTTCTGATTCAGCTTATTTGTCTGATTCAGCTGACCGGTCTGATTCAGTTGATTGGTCTGATTCAGCTGATTTGCCTGATAAACAATTAATTTATTAATTAACCAACAAATATTTATTTTTATTCATTTTTCTATGATAAGAATCAGAAATAAGAATCTATTGTCTGTGATAAAAATATTGCAAAATTAAATTAAAGCAAATTTTAACAGAGTACAGTTTTAAAATCTTGGAGGTTTTATAACAAGTTTTATTTAAATAGCCAAAACTATTATAACAACATTAATTCAATCTGATCCGATCTACGCTACAATAATTCAATCTGATCCGATCTACGCTACATTAATTCGTAAATTTTATTATACGTTGCATAAAACACTGAAAACCAGTTTTTAAAAATTGCAAAATTCTACTTTTTGACCGTTTACCTTCTGTGTGTTCTACTTTTTGTTTGTGTTAGGTACTTTCCTAAAGGCATTTTCCCAAGTGACAAACGTCCAAGTGTCAAGTTCCCAAAGGATAAGGCAGGCCCTCTTCGAGGCGCCGCAGGCTTCAATGGGGGCTTTGGAAAAATCCTTTGGAAAAGCTAGTAGCCATCATATTTTTGTCATTCAACCTTTTGTACTGGAGCAGAGTCAAACAAATGACGTCTTCGTTTTCCACAATTTTATGGGTTCTACTGTACATGTAGTTTTTAAATTAAAATTATTATATGACCCTGTGCTTGTCCTTGGTAATGCATTTTCCAAGATCATTCCTAAATAATTCATGCAGTACTTTTATACCTTTCATATATTTAATTTAAATGTTTTATTTCCACGCTTGTAAACATTACGAAACCTTTGTTATTTCTCTTAATTCAAAATAATTAAAAAAATTAATTTAAAATCTAAAGTCTTGTCTTTTAAAACTAATTGGAATGATTAGTTGAAAAATAGGATCAAACTCCGATTTTAAAAATACGTTTTTTTATTTTATACATTACAGACAGAGTGTCTAAACATTATCAGAACCGTGGACAATCAACAGAAGAAAAAGAAAGAAAGGAAAAAAATGAGATGACAAGAATATTAATAAAATTAGAATTATTCTGTACTAACTGTATCCAAATTATAAAATTAAAAAGCTTAAAATAATAATAAAAAAAAAAATATTTTATGCGTTCAACTTTTACGTCAATTAAATTTGGAACAAAGGTACTTGTTTTGACGAACACTATAAAGGGATTGTAGATATAATTTGGAACAAAGGTACTTGTTTTGACGAACACTATAAAGGGATTGTAGATATAATTTGGAACAAAGGTACTTGTTTTGACGAACACTATAAAGGGATTGTAGATATAATTTGGAACAAAGGTACTTGTTTTGACGAACACTATAAAGGGATTGTAGATATAATTTGGAACAAAGGTACTTGTTTTGACGAACACTATAATGGGATTGTAGATATAATTTCAAGTTCGACCCTCCATTTAAAGAGTGTTAATACCCGATTTTTAATTTAACTGGTCTGTGTAACAATTAGGAAAATATCTTTAAATGTGTTTAATTCTGACCATTTCCTTAATTGTTTCCCAATCCATTTTTAGAGAAACCAAAGTTAAACGCATAATTAATTTTCAGTCAGGAAAATAATGACATTTCATTCATCCTTAATCAGACAAATGTTTTAAGGATATCGATTTGAACAGGACACCCAATGATACTCCCTGTATATCTTCTTGTATCTCTCAGTAGGGTAATGGCAGAGCCTTAAACGTTGCAAGCATAGAGAGAGAATATCGTAAATTTAAATCAGATCACCTGCTCTGCTGACCCTCCCCCCCCCCTAGGTGAGACCACCTGTCCTATCTCTAGGGGGGGGGGGTATTATTGTTCCGTGATTAAGTTAAACGTTTAGAGTTAGATATATCAGCTTATTTGTTCATTTATTTGTATCCTGGCGAACACTCCAACACGAAGGTTGAGATTTCAAAGACGACTTTACGGACTTCATTCAGTCTTTTTCCTCATATTAATGATGCGCATGCAAGATGAGTATGGGATAATTTTATTACAATAATACACTTTAAAAATCCTAAATTTTGTTTTTTTGATTATATTTATAAAAAAATCGCTTATTTGGCAGTCATCAAACTTTCGCTCCTTAATAAGCGATTTTTTGTTGAATACAAGCGATTTTCGTCGCAATCCAACTTTTACTGCAAAATTTTGATTTTGAAATTTAGACGTTTGATAAACAATTCATATTCGAAAAAAAAAGTTTTTAATTGAATCGGTATTGTCCTTTTTTAAAGTTTGGACCTGAGGCCGAATGTTAGAATAATAAATTGTTTAATTACAACGTGTGAGTTTGCAGCGGGCAGGCTTAAACCATAATCCTGGTTTCAACCATACAATAAAATGAACAAAGAGACCAAATAAGTACGTTGGAAATCTGAAATATTATTGTTTATTTGTAACCATCTTCCCCCCCCCCCATCTCCCTTCATCCAAAACCCATCTTTCATCCAAGGACCCGAACAATACCCCCCCCCCCCCTCCCTCCCGTAGTTACGCATCTGCTCAATGTAAACCCACATTTAGAGATTAACAAACACACACCTAGAGCAGACAAACAGAGTGTTCACACAAAGAAATAAAAGACAATTTTATTCGTTTATTCCTTAAATTGCAGTTGTGAAACTTTTAATTGTCACATTAAAATATCCTTTTTAATATAATTGTAAGTAATTATATTTTATATGTTTTCTGCGTACATAATAAAAACAATATTTCACAGAATTCCTAGTTTTTATATTCTAATTTCAAAGTCAAGGAATTTATTTTTGGAGAAACATATTTTAAATCCCGTCAAAACCTCCATACAGGCTCTCTCTGCGTAGAATTAAAAGACAGAGAACGAGCCTGTTCTACGCCGACTATGCGTAACTCCTTTGGGCTTCTGACTCAGGGTTATTGTAAACGAAAAACCCATAAATCTTGAAAGGACGACATCTAGTTTCCTATCTGTTATTTTAATTTATCTATGATCAGGATATAGAATTGAGGAATTAGATTTAAGCCGTAGGCATAGAGAATAGAATATATAGAGAGGAATTAAAAGAATCTCTCGGTATGAATTTTTTCAGTCCCTTTCAGCCTGAAAGGGAGTTCAAAGTGTGCAAATCATGTAAATGTTCACAAATTATGTGCAGTAGAGTACATTAATACAGTATGTTCCCTAGACTAGATTCATTTCAATTTCAAATTTTTTAAACTGTTAAACTGTCATTTGATTTATAGTTATAACGAAAAATCATCGTTTGTAAAGTGGAAGGCATAGATTCTATGTGAAATGATCAATGGTCAATTATGAAACCAGTCTATTTCATAATTTGGTTTTCTTTTAACAATAATAATTTTAGATTTTCTATAAAATGATATTCCAGGGTCCAACAGGTTATATAGCATAAATATGTGAAGTACACCTGCAGTATGGAAACAGTACAACAAAATGGCCGTTTTACACTTTTTTCTACACAAAGAGAACATGTTCACAATTAATTTAGAAGATGGGCGCGAAGCGCCCTCTAAGGCTAGTAAAAATAAAAATGGAAACAAAATTGCTTCAAATCTCTTTTTGAAAATTGAATGTCATTGCAAAATAGTCGAATTCAGAACTTTTTTAATTAGATATTTATACAGTTTGTATTTATATAGTTTGTATGAGAAGAAACTAATTTCATTATTTCAGAAAACAAAGGGGCTAATAGTTTGTAACTTTTCAAATACAGATACCAAGCCGGTCAAAAAATCAAATTTTTTATTATTGCTCCCCAAAATCTCCCCTTTCCCCTCCCCCCACCTTTTACTTACTCTACATAGGCCCTCCCTTCCCTATGAAAGTATGTCACTAGATTGTAATGCCTGAATTAACTCCTAGTGTGATATCCTTTGTATCCTTTGTATTCAATATAAACTATATGATATAATAATTAATCAAATTAGAAATCATAGATTATCAAAATATACAGAGAGAGGGTTGAAACATAGATTATCAAGAAATACAGAGAGAGAGTTGAAACATAGATTATCAATAAAAACAGAGAGAGAAAGTTGAAACATAGATTATCGAAAAATACAGAGAGAGAGTTGAAACATAAATTATCAAAAAATACAGAGAGAGAGTTGAAACATAGAGTATCATTAAATACAGAGAGAGAGTTAAAACATAGATTATCAATAGATACAGAGAGAGAAAGTTGAAACATAGATTATAAATAAATACAGAGAGAGAGAGTTGAAACATAGATTATCAATAAATACAGAGAGAGGAGTTGAAACATAAATTATAAATAAATACAGAAAGATGACGAGACACAAATCATAAAGCTATTGACCATCATGAGACACAAAATAAAACTAAGGACTATAAAATCGAACCCAAAGAGAAACCAAGTAAACTTGTTAACTATCAAGACAAAAAAAAATAGAAAAAAACAATACAGAAAAAAACTTTAGATCTTTATAAATCTATATTTTGATCCTCAGCACATTAAAATGTCAAATATACGCTATTGTAATCCTAGAATAAATAAATAATGTATTGCACGCCCTTACTACTCTATCCATAAACATTCCTTTTATTTACCCCTTCCCTTTACCTCCTCTCTGCCCCCTTTTCCTTTAAGAGTCAAGGTATACACAAGTACAATGCGCATAGTCATCTATTACTATATTATTCTTTTCTCTCTCCCCTATTTTTCTTAGCTGGAAATTTTCTTTCTTTCTACCTCTTCCTTTCCCTTTCTAACTTTTCCCTTCATTTTTACGTCTACCTTCCTTTTGACCTCTCCCTTCCTTTCTACCTCTCTCATTCCTTCCTACCTCTGCCTCCTTTCTACCTCCCTCTTTCCTTTCTATCTCTCTCTGCTCCCTTTCTACATCTTCCCTTCCTTTCTTTCTCCCTCTTCCTTTCATTATTTCCCTTCCTTTCTACCCCCTGCCCATCCTTATTACATTTCCCCTTCCTTTCTACCCCTCCCTATCCCCCCTTTCTACCTCTACCAAATGTATTTCAATCTTATTCTCACTTTTAACCCTTTAAAATTCGTATTTTTGATTAAAATAAATAGTTAATCTTATAGATAAACAAATCCGCGAGGTGTGAAGCGCCAGTGAATTGTAAGTAAAATATTTTATTATTGCTAGGATTTAGAATGTATCTAGATTATGCTGCACTGCCTATGGTACAAGGTACAATGTAAGAATTATATGATTGAATGCATTTTATAACTTTAAATTAAATTCAATTTAAAATCGAATACATTCAACTATTATTCAAACCTTGCATTCATTCATTCACCCATTTATCAATCTTGAAATTCATCTTATCTATTTAAAATTTTATCCAGAAAAAGCTTAAAAGATAAATGTGAGATAATTGTAAACAATTTTCCAACGGATTAAATGGATTAAAGAGTTGGATGTCTTCACTCGTTGTAAATGATATTTGTAACAATTTACATTTTACATATATGGAAGGCCAAAATATTTATCTATTAGTGTATATCTTCAAATAAATATATATAAAATATATAATATATATATAGGAGTTCTAAAAACTATCTTTTTTTACATTTTTTATTTTACAAATATTTTTTTATGCTGATTAAATATTTGGTAATTTTTTAAAAAGAAACATTTTATTAGAATGTTTATTGTGACACCCAGTGCCTTGTTGTAAACTGCTAAGTATAGCTGTATGAATATGAACCAATATTTGAAACTATTAATTTTAACTATACACATTATTCATATTATATATTATACATCCATATACTGAAGCAGTAAACCTTTACAGATGGTTTAATAACCAGTATGAAATATCTGTACATACAGTGAGAACCAGAAAACAATGGAATAGGAAGACGACATGTTAGCATTGTCCCTAAGTATCTGATCTAAATAACTCCTAACCCCTGCCAAGGTATACTTATCCAAGAATTACTTATTTCAGAGTCAAAAACTAGATAAAGTGCGATTTTTATGCTATAGCTTTAAAGTTCTGTGAAATAATAAATTCAAGGAATATAGGAATTGAGTCTTTGTCACAAACTCAAATCTTCTAATTTATAAATATTTGCAATTTGATGGTGCAAACCTTTTGTATTTATAACTTTTGTGGCTAAAGAGTCAATTCCTTTAATCCCAGACTATATATGAGTTATATGACACAACTAAAAAAATTTCCGCCACATTTTCCAGAGAATCATTATTGATTGATAGAAAATGAACTGCGGGGATTTCACCATGGTTTAAATATTTAACTCGCCGATTTCGGTGAGTTAAATATTTAATCTGTAGCTTAGAGTTACGGTTTATTTTAAGTCACGGCCCTGGCGGCATTTAAGCTGAAACTTAACATTTAAGCTGTAATTTTTCATTCGTTAAAGTTTTGGACTCAGATTAACTTCTCCGAAATAAACTTATCCCGAAAATACTTTTGCTACAATTCTTTTTTATAAAAACATTAATACCAAATTTATTTTTCCGGAAAAAATTATCCGAAATATATATATAAACCAAATATGCTTATCCCAAAAATACTTTCTCCAAAATCCAAATATACTTATCCCAAAAAAATATTTACCAAAATCCAAATATGCTTACCCCAAAAATATATTTACCAAAATCCAAATATGCAATCCCAAAAAAGCTTCTGTCATCTACCAAGTGTCTTAGCTCTAGTTTAACCCAAGAAACTATATATATATTTCTTGGTTTACCCTATATATTAAAGCATATATTTTAATTAGATTCTTGAGTACTACTTTAATGCCTAAAGAAATGTGCTTGGTTAAAGACTGCAGTTGTAATCTTAAATAACATTCCATTTCAAGAAGAGAATTCACAATCATAACAGGGAAAAGTGATTAGTTCTGACAATTTACTCCATTGTTTCGCGAGCAGAAATCCTCAAGTCAATTTTTTCAATTTAAGATAATCAATTTTTAGAGAGAAAAATTGCCATCTCATTTTTTGAATGGAAGGTCTTTGTAGATTACGTCTACGTACGTGGTATACTTTGATAGTTTGATTCTGAAGTATACTTGTTTAAAGTTTAATCAAAATATATTAAAGTCTACTCTGCATGCAGGGTTTACCACAAATGACAGGCTGCGAAGGTTGTACACAGCACTACATCAGAGTATCAGGATTTAATAGCTAATGTTTCAAACAGATCCAGAACCCTCAAGTGCATTGCTTTATTGATTTTTATTCATATACAATATTAGAAACGACTTTTGTTAGTTTTCTTACAAATGATTCCCTACAGACGAAATTTCTTTGTCAGCTCATTTAGAAAACATTAAAAGTTCAATTTCAAATGTTAGATCGCCAGAATTAATATTGGTCGTCGTCACATAAGTCTCCTTATTTAAGGGTCGTTTTTTGGAAAAAAAATGTGAAAATCTAGAAGTAAGTAAGATGAAAAAAACACTAAAAAATTAAAAGTGAAAAGTTGAAAAAATTTAGGATAAAGAGTCAAAAAGAATTAATAGAAAAAAGGAAGACATTTGAAATTAGATCACTGAAATATAAAAAAAGAAGATGGAATATTTGATAAAGAACTCAAATATGCATGTAAATATATGAAGGAGGAGGAGGGGGGGTTGAGGGGGAATACGCCCCCTGTCAGATATGCAGATATGCGCTTCACTTTATAGAAAAATATTTTAACAAGCATACAATGAACTTCATTGAAATTGCACTGTTGCACACACTGCCTGGGCTGAAAAACAACTAATCCCTGCTTAGATAATTTTTTAATAATTCTTAGGATATAGTGTGTAAAAATATACTTTAGGATACAGAGTGTAAAAATATACTTAGGATAGAGTGTGTAAAAATATACTTTAGGATACAGAGTGTAAAAATATACTTAGGATACAGAGTGTAAAAATATACTTCAGGATACATTGTGTAAAAATATACTTTTGGATACAGTTTGTATAGATACACTTTAGGATACAGTGTGTAAAATATACTTTAGGATATAGTGTGTATAGATACACTTTAGGATACAGTGTGTAAAATATACTTTAGGTTACAGTGTGTAAAATATACTTTAGGATACAGTGTGTATAGATACATTATAGGATACAGTGTGTAAAAATAAAAGCTTAGAATACAGTGTGTATAGATAAAAAAAATTTTGTTAAGAGCGTTGAGTTCTCTTCAATAATAAATTCAATTTTCTAAACTTAACTTTACAGCTTAATGGGACTATATCAGCCTAATTTAAAGTAACCCTCCATGCAAAAATGGCATTGCCAGATTAACAAGAATATAAATGTTAATTTGGAAAAACGAATATTTCAATTGTGGTTTCTTTACAAAACTGACTTACGCGTTTCTACTGCAGGAAAATAGGAATTATCATAACTTTTAAACCTAAAAAACGACAATATCTTCAACATTATTGATCAGAAAAATGTTATTGTGAATCAGGGAATGCCATCTTTGCAAGGAGCGTCACTTAAAATTACGCCTACAGTCCCTTTAATGTTAAAGATTTTGCACAATCCTTTTAATTATCGCCTGTAAACCTGTAATCCAGGTATGTTTACTGTGTTACACTTATTTATTTAAATGACACTCATAAATTAGAATCTAGTGAACATGAACCATAAACACGACACATACAGTGTGTCCTAGAAAACAGGCTATAGCTAGTTAATTAAGCATCCTATTTCTGGGACGCCCTAAAATAAATTTTTCTTGGGACACCTTGTATATTCTACTTTTTTCGCGACACCCTGTATTTTCTTTTCTTTTTCTCGTGAAGCTCTGTATATTCTTCTATTATCACGACATCCTGTATATTCTACTAATCTCGTGACACCCCATACAGTTTCTACTATTTTTGAGACGCCCTGTTTATTCTTCTATTCTCGCGACAACCTCTGTATAATACTATTCTCTAGACACCCTGAAAAACTGCAATTCTCAGTACACCCTGTGAATCTATTTTTTTTTGGGACGCCCTATAAATCTTATAATTATTGGGAACACCAGAAAATGAAGTATTCTTTGAGAACCTATAAAGTTTATATAAAAAATGAAATATGTCGTACACAGGTTTCTTAAAGTATAAATGGATTGTAGAAAAGATAAGGATTTAGAACCGGAAATAAGTCTGGAACTTAATTAAAAGTTTTAAAGCAAAATGAAGATAATGGTTAATCAGATTAAAGTTTATCAAATAGAATCATAAAATTAATCCTTTTAAGCTTCAAACCTTCAATAAGGAAATAAAGATATATCATCTTTTAATAATCTTTAATTTAATTTTTTTTCTTGATAATTATTTGTTTCTTTATTGCCAAAAGGGACAATATATACAATAGATTAGATATTTTTAATTATTTATAGATACAATAGATTAGGTATTTTTGATTATACATAGATACAAAAAATTAGATATTTTAAATTACATATATTATCCAATACAATATATGTTTTAATAATATATAGATACAATAAATTATATGTTTTAATTATATATAGATACAATAAATTGGATATTTTTGATTATTTATAGATACAATAGATTAGATATTTTTAATTATATATAGATACAATAAACTGTATATTTCAAATTATATATAGATACAATAAATTATATGTTTTAATTATATATAGATACAATAGATTAGATATTTTTGATTATTTAAAGATACAATAGATTAAGTATTTTTAATTATTTAAAGATACAATAGATTAGGTATTTTTAATTATACATAGATACAAAAAATTAGATATTTTAAATTATATATATAGATCCAATACATTATATGTTTTAATTATATATAGATACAATAAATTATATGTTTTAATTATATATAGATACAATAAATTGGATATTTTTGATTATTTAAAGATACTATAGAGGACGTGAGTCAGACTCTAATAAA